AACCTCAAACCTCAAATGACCCCAAACTTGGGGTTGGCAGCAGGGCCGGAGCTGGCAAGCACCCACAGGTGGTGCTGCCGACAGCCCTGTCAAGGGGGCCATGTGCCGCCCCCCCCATACCTCTCCTACACATCACTAATGTCTCTGTGGATGCATGTTCAGTGTGTGTCAGCACGTGTGTTGTGGAATGACCACAGCAGAGAGAGCGCATGAGTTGGGTTCCTGAGTTTGGTGCATTTTTCGTGAGAGGTGCAAGCTCTGGAATACAGCTCCTGTGTGTGTTGGATGTCCAGACTCTGTGAGAGTGCCTAGATCACTCCAGGACCTAAGCAGAGTCTCTCATCAGCAGACAGCAGCAGTCTCATCAGTGGTTACAGACTCCAGATGCTCGCCACTGTTCCCTGCTGCCTTGCTTCCCTCCCCCGCAACCCGGCGCAGCTGGGGACAGGGGAACCGCGTGGGGATCTCCTAGCAGCTGCTCGCTCCAGACTGCCCTGGCAACACACCTTCTGCGCGTGGGGCTGCACTGAAGGAAGCGGCAGGCACAGGAGGCGCATTGCCAGGGCAGCGGGGGGGTGAGGGGATCCCCATGCAGCCCCACTGTTCCCAGCCATGCCAGGTCATGCCTGCTTAAGTCCATAGCCTGCCCCAGCACAGATCCAGGGGAGCGGGTTCCCCCCTATCCCCTGAGAGTGAAAGACACGGAGTGCCTGGCCAGATGCATGTAGACCACCCGTGGCGCTATTGGCCCAAACTGGTGCAGTGCCTCCAGGTGCAGCTTCTCTTAAGGGCCCATACCATCTCTCACAGTCCATGTGCAGTGGCTGGGCACTCCATGTCTCTCACGAACACCTCCCCGCTCCCAGCCAGAGTACCTGGCTGGCTGCACATGGACTGTGAATGGCGCTATAGGCCCTTAAGGGAAGCCGTGCATGGAGGTGCTGAGTCCTGTTGGGCCAATAGCATCGTGGGCGTTCCACGCACAGCTGGCCAGGCACTCTGCATCATTCACCAACACCTCCCTGCTCCCTCAGCCCCGAGACAGCTCCCTGCAGGCAGCCTCCCCGCCAGCCAGCTCAGCCTCCAACCAGCTTCCCCCCACAGCCCTGCCCCACAACCCCCCCAGCCCCCTGTAAGCCCCACTTTCCTAACCTTACAGGCTCCACAAGGAAAGTGAGCCAGAGGTAAGCCTTGGGACTGACTAAAAGCCTCAGGCCCTGCCTTTCCCCCTCTCCCTCTCCTTCCTGCTCTGGGCAGGGCTGGGGGTTTCCCACCCCTTTTGCAATCAGCTGTTGCAGGCTGGAACTGTGCCCACCTGCAGAGCTCTTTGCAGGAGCAGGAAATCCGCGGTTTCTCTGATAAAGATGGGAAATCTGTGGTTTTTTCCGTTTTTCCACGGGAAATGGAAAACCTGGATCCCTGTTGATCAAAGAGGGAGAGAATGCAAAAGGAATACAAAGCAATGAAAAATGGAAGAAAACCTACTTGAGCAAAACAGAATGGGCTTGTCGGCCCTTTTGATATGCATCTATTTCACTTAATCCTAAATTACTGGCTAAAATTCAGGTAAATTACTCACACGTTCATCCAGACACTGATGGAGCTCTGGAGGCCTTTGGCTTGTTTCAGTATCCCCAAAATGTCTCCCCCTCCCAAAAGGGAGTGATCCCTTTTATCACTTTTCTGACCTCATCCCTAAATTCCAAACAAAAATCAGTAACCTCAGAACATGGCTGATGCAAGCTAGTTAATCTGAAAAATGTCAGCAACCCTCTCGTGGAGTGACCAGTGCCTCACAGGTATTTGGGAAGGAAACTGGAATAAAGGAAGAGCGAGTTCCCCCCTCTGAATGAAACCACTTAGGTGACCAGGTGGATCTAGTAGCCAGTCTGAAGCCAGAGGAGGGGTGAGCAGACACTGAGTAGGGAGGACAGCAAAAAGGGGGATTTCTCCACATCTTCTCCCTCAGCTTGCCCTCTTCCTTCTCCAGATAATCACTAGTAGGTGTCTGGCTGCAGCTTAAATTTTTCTGTGAAGACCATGAGGTACAGTAGCTGTTGAATAGCTCCGCCTTTCTTGCATCTTCAATTAGGAGCTCCCCCTGCTTCTTAAGAGGACTCACAGCTTCCTTGGTTCTTCTTTTCTGGCTATCATAATTAATGAACCTCTTCTTGTTGTCCTTAACCTCCTTTGCCAGGTGAAACTCATTCTATCTTTGCCTTCCTGATTTTGTTCCTGCAGATTCTTGCTTTTTTCTAGTACACTTCCTTGGTGAACTGTCCATTCTTCCATTGCCTGTATGCTTTCCTTTTGCATTTGAGGCATTTTAGAAGCTCCTTGTATAGTAACACTGGTCTCTTGCCATTCTTCTTGTGCTACTGTGTCAGGACTGTTTACTTCCGCTTTCTCGCTTTACTTCTGACACTTTCAGAAACTTAAAAATAAAATTCCTTTCATAACAAATTCTAAAATAGTTGTAGAATAGAAAGAAAAGAAAACCCTGCAGTTATTTCATTTCTAAACTGCCCCTGTGTCATTTTCTATTTGGGAACAGTTATTTTCCGTAACTCCTGCCCTTATCCTTCCTTTTCTATTTAAACTGAAATTAATCTATCACTAGTTTGTTTTACAGTTTCCCAACGTGCATTCTCAAAGATATCAGTATAGATGTAGAAACAGTAGCTACTCTGTTTTGACAAAAATGCAAAAAGCCACTTATTTTTTATTACAAAATTATTTCAAATTTTGCTACTATCTGCAATAGCCAATACATATTTTACACAAACAAAACTATATTAAAAGAACATTACATAGTCCAGTGTTCACATATTTAGAATTAAATTAACATTAGGGGCTATAGGCTGTACAGGCATGATAGAG